TAATAGCCTTTAAAAATATTTTCTTCTATACTTCTGTCATTATTTAAACGGATCTTTAAAACACATTAGAGGACTATCTTAAATTAACGAATACAAATATACTTTTAAAGGCCGCCAATATTTTTAAAGGCCGTTAAATATAAAGGAATTGTTACAGAATAGACCCCATAATCAGTTAAAAAATTTAATTTTAACGGTACATCGTACCTATTAGACAGTGGACAAATGACACATAGACAGACTGACACATGATATAGGCGTAAGGAGGGAGTGTTCGACATTGGTTCTGGAGTTAACCGATCCATATGATCTATACTTATTTAAAAATGATACAATGGTTGAAAAATTGGAAAGGGTATGATAAGTTTCTGCAGGATATGATCCACAGCCGTCCAGAGAGACTTATTATAATGGTTTGGGGGAACTATTGTAGCTTCGAATTTTTAGAGTAGAGGAAGGCCAATGACTCTAGATCCATACTAGGCCAGAGAACTTGAAGGTGATAGACGTGACTAGACCATGATCCATACATGGCTATTAGTCGAAGAGTGAAGGGTAAATTAGAAAAAAGATAAGAATAGACAGAGAATTTTGCCGAAAAGTGAAAGGGCATACTAGGCAGTAACAAAGATAGATAAAGACTCGGTTTTCGCCTTTTACGACACAGCTGTGTGCTGGGTTACCTATTCTATAACCAAGTAACCACGGTGAATAAGAATAAGTGTAGTCCAGGTTAGGGCCAGACTCCAAAACCAATAGCGGGTCCTCCTGATTAGTTACCCAGTGAATTTAACAATTATGAAATTTAGAATTAACTGAAAAGTGAATTAATTACAATTTAAAGATGTTAATAAGTTAGGGGTTTATGATTATTAATGGATTTAATATTTTAATTGAAATGGTGGGATTCCCAGAGGGCTTTAAATAATGGATTATAATTACAATTTAGGTGAATTTGAGTGTTTAAACAAGATCGGGATTCAAGTTCATTTCACGAAGGATCTCCAAATCCTCCAGAAGGTGCATCTTCCTAAAGTTGTTGACTGGAACACTATGTAAAATTTTGCTGTTTGATGTAGGAGAGAAGCTATGATTATTAAATTTAATGTGATGTCCAAAATTAGATTTAAGAGGTCTCGATAAGTGTTCCTTGATGCGTGTCTCTAGAGGCCTGATGGTTCTACCTATATAAGTAGCTTCGCAGTTATTGCAATGGAATTTGTAAATGCCACTTCTCGACAACTTATCAATCTTGTCTTTGGTTTTTGATAATAGAGTTTTAATAGTGTTGAGTTTTAAAGGAAATTTTAAGATTTTGAACATTATTTTGTAAAATTTTTGCAATATCAGAGGAAACGTTCCCGAAATAAGGTAAAGATCTGTAAATTGAGGTGTCACTTGTTTGTGTGACGGGAATTGCTAAGTTCCTTCTGTTTTTAAGGAGAACTCTGTTGATCATATTATTTACTATCTCAGGTCCAAAACCGTTGTTAACTGCTAGTTGTTTAAGTAAGTTGGTTTCAATTTTGAAATTAGTTATCGAGAGGGGTATGTTAATTAGTCTATGTACATAACAAGAAAGGGCTGACATTTCTTGTTATGTATCTTTACCTTATTTCGGGAACGTTTCCTCTGATATTGCAAAAATTTTACAAAATAATGTTCAAAATCTTAAAATTTCCTTTAAAACTTAAAACACTATTAAAACTCTATTAGCAAAAACCAAAGACAAGATTGAGAAGTTGTCGAGAAGTGGCATTTACAAATTACATTGCAATAGCTGCGAAGCTACTTATATAGGTAGAGCCATCAGGCCTCTAGAGACACGCATCAAGGAACACTTATCGAGACCTCTTAAATCTAATTTTGGACATCACTTTAAATTAAATAATCATAGCTTCTCTCCTACATCAAACAGCAAAATTTTACATAGTGTTCCAGTCAACAACTTTAGGAAGATGGACCTTCCGGAGGATTTGGAGATCCTTCGTGAAATGAACTTGAATCCCGATCATTATTTAAACATTCAAATTCACCTAAATTGTAATTATAATCCATTATTTAAAACCCTCTGGGAATCCCACTATTTCAATTAAAATATTAAATCCATTAATAATCATAAACCCCTAACTTATTAACATTTTTAAATTGTAATTAATTCACTTTTCAGTTATTTCTAAATTTCATAATTGTTAAATTCAATAGGTAACTAATCAGGAGGACCCGCTATTGGTTTTGAAGTCTGACCCTAACCTGGACTACACTTATTCCTATTCACCGTGGTTACTCGGTTATAGAATAGGTAACCCAGTACACAGCGGTGTCGTAAAAGGCGAAAAACGTGTCTTTGTACTATCTTTGTTACTGCCTAGTATGGATCTAGGTAGTAATTTGTCTTTTCTATTTCCCTTTCACTTTTCGGCAAAATTCTCTCTCTATTATCTTTTTTCTAATTTACCCTTCACTCTTCGACTAATAGCCATGTATGGATCATGGTCAAGTTCTCTGGCCTAGTATGGATCTAGAGTAATTGGCCTTCCTCTACTCTAAAAATTCGAAGCTACAATAGTTCCCCCAAACGATTATAATAAGTCTCTCTGGACCGCTGTGTGGATCATGTCCTGCAAAAACTTATTATACCCTTTCCAACTTTTCAACCATTGTATCATTTTTGAATAAGTATAGATCACATAGATCGGTTAACTCCAGAACCAATGTCGAACACTCCCTCCTTACGCCTATGTCATGTGACAGTCTGTCTATGTGTCATTTGTCCACTGTCTAATAGGTACGATGTACCGTTAAAATTTAAAATTTAAAACTGATAATGTATTTGTAAAATACGAAATATAAGGGTGTGTTTTGCTAATTTTTAACACCCCCTTTTTCAAAAATGTATTCAATGTTTTAACCCATGTATTTTTATTCAATTTTAACTCTGGATAGATATCTATTGACGTAAGGTAATTCTTTCACCCTTACTTCTCGTATTAAATTTTAAACTTTGTAGGACGGCCTGAAGATGACAATGTTTTGTCGAAAGCGCTAGCCAAATTGTATTAAACATTTATATATACACACTTGAGTACTCAATTCCTCAATTCAACCCAATCATTTAACCATTGAGTGTCTACTTCTTTCCCAGTCTAAACATCAAAAAATAATAATTTGAATATATTTTGAAAATAAATTGAGAGTGACATAATAGGTTGTTTCTTTTCTTTTTTTTTGGAACATAAATTTTCCCTTTCAGAAAAGTTAATTATGACTGTTTATATAAAAGTTAATTTGAATATTGGTCAATATCAAACTTTTTATTTATACAATCATTATAAGTAACTTTAAATTTTGCACCTTGGGAAAGTTTTAGTCTTATAGTTTGATATTGACATTTGTTGTATTAAAGTTGCATGGCGCTCGACATTATTACTTTACTCAAACACATTAACTTTATTCCAAATTCACCCTAGCTCTCCATACTGAAAAGCTGCCGTTTGCAGTGTGTTGCACTTTAAATTCATAAAATTCAAATCTCTATTTTTTTTTTAAAGTCAGACATCTCAGAAAAAGTGCGGCACATCTTCTAAGAATGTCCTGTTATAGCACGTGCTCGGTATATACTTTTTAGAATATACTTTTAAGGCACGTACTCAGTATATACTTTTTAGAATAAACTTTCAAAGCACGTACTCAGTATATACTTTCTGGAATATACTTTTAAAGTATAATATAATAGGTATGTTCTAAGAACATTTTATTGAAATACCAGAAAAACTTGGATAGAACGTTCTTAGTATATTCATAGAACATTGATGTTATGTGGGCCTGTATATGTGTTACTGGCTAATATGTTCGTCGGATAGGTAAATTTGTAAGGAAATGTATGGTAAAATAATATACAGGGTGTTATATTTGAAGAAATTTAGTAAATTGAACCTAAAATGTTTCAGAATAGGTACTCTATATAAAATAGACCAGTTATATCACCACTGTTCGTTAGCTTACTATCTTATAAGTCTAAAATTTAAACAATTTTTAAATCATTGTAAACCTACCTAAATTATGTCAATTTAATTTCGAGCCTGCAAAATTCTCGAATTTCATGAAAAAATTAATCGCTTGGCAACCATTCTAAAATTGAAATAAAATACAGGCCGTTCAATTTAAAAAATAAACCTTCTTATTTGCCAGCAAAAAGCCCTGTTTTTTCAAAAATATTTTTAAAACGCGTATTTCTTAAATCCATATAACTTTTATTGCGTATTTATAATACAAATTGAAATATTGAACAATTGCCCACTAATGGGACACCCTGTATAAAGCGACACTAATCTAGTGAAATAAAAATATAAATTTGCAAATATAGATAGTTTTATAGTTTGGAACTAGTCAAAATAAACTAATTTATTTTTAGTTTTCTTTTTTATTCATAAAATTTTTGCTTACTGTAGCAGAACGTTAATATTCAGAAAGCCCGCTTCAAGCGGCCATATTCAATTTAGTACCACTCCAATGTTATAGACGGCAGCACATTGCCTCAGAATTTTATTATTGAGTTTCCCATCTATTCATACTTCTCTAATCTATGGTATGATCGAAGAAACAAGTGGTGTTGGTAATTCTTGAATCTCGGGAAGTAGAACTTTTGAGAGAATGAGATAAAAATACAAATTTTGTGCGTTGCAGATAAAGAGGAAAAACCGGTTTTCTATTCCCTTAAATTCAAGAATAGCTACCCTGGGGCAATGCCTACTGACGTGAACCAACTCGAACATTATAAAACATGTGACCATCTTTAAAACCAACTCCACCACGCTGAAATAATGTAGATGCCATTACTAGTGAAAATTTATTAAACAAGTTATAAAGCACTAGAATTAATATTTTTTTTTTTAATATTACAAAAACGTTTCACAATAATGGTACATTAAAAGAAAATATATTGAATATAAGATTACAATATTAACCCAAATATATATTATTAATATTATTATTGAAAGTAATTATTCACATATGAGTTAACACCTTTTTTGTATATTAATAAAATTGTTATATCATAAATAATTTTTATTTCTGTTATTATTCATCAGTTAAAATATAAATTTGTGATCCCACTTGCTCCTATTTAAGCCACTTTTTCAGGATTGATATATAAAACTTCCTAGCCTGCAATATATAATCATTATCAGAAGGATTAGTACCTCTGAACTCCATAAGGTGGGGAGCATCCATAATTTGATAAGTCACCAACGATTTATCAGTCTTATCTGCCTTATTCAAATCAACAACACCCCATGAAGCTGGATCGATCGTGCTGCTACTGAAGAGCATATTAGTATAATACTTCAATTTGTTTACACCATATGCCAAAAAGACAAAATTAGGTTTTGGCTTGACTCCAAATTTTTTGTAACAATCAAGAGCGAATTGTTCATAAACCCAGTTGTTTGTAATAAACATATCTTGAGCAGTTGAACATTTGGGCATTATCAGCTCTGTGCAAGTTTGGTATTTCCAGGCAACTTCATTTAAGTCTTCTTCTTTACTGTAAATGTTGTTACAAGTTATTCTGCCGGTATAATTGGTATAAATTTGCAAAGCGTTCGCAAATGATTGAATAAAACCTTTCGTGTCATTAAAATAAGCCGTGTTGAGTTTATCGCAAAATACCATCACTGGAAAAGCTGGAACTGGATTGTAGTATTCTGACGGATAGGGATAATTTGCCATTGATAATTCTATAAATATATTGCTTAACCAGTCTATCAATATTTGCACATCTTCAGCTGTTTTTAGTTTGCTGCAAAGCTTCCATGTTGAAGAAATATAATCCATGCCTGCAACAAATTTTAAATTAATAATGCAAATAAAAATATACACTGTCGTGTCTTGAGTAATAAAATATAACAAATAGGTAGATACAAACTAAATTAATTAAGAAAAGGGTACGAAAGTTAGAATAAAAATAAACACAGTAAGTTGATTTTAGCATGTAGACGTGCCGAAACAGGTTCCAAGAAAATTAATTTTTTATTCTTAACAAAAATGCACTCGTTTTACCGAAGTAATAAAATCTAAAAAAAAACGAGACTCATGAAATTTTGTGCGCTACATTTTGAAATTCACGTGGATTTCATTATTAAAATGTTGCTATAATGCAACAATTTCTCGAAGGTATTGAATTTGGCTCAAATGTGACACATAATGAGTGTAACTATTGAAATATCGAAAATAATAAAAAATAATTTTAATAAAAATTGTTTTGTAGTTTTGTATTAATATCAGTATGTTATTACAGGATATTTTTGAGAAAAGTGGCATAGATTTACAAAAATTTTTGTTCAAAATGGTGCACAAAAACATTAAAACGATTACCTAAAGTAGGGTCCGATTCTCAGCGGTTGAGTGCCTACTGAGCGCGTCTCCGGGTGGTAGATGGGAGAATGGCCAGGATTTTCTTGGTTAGTGTTAGACATAAGTAGATTGAGAGAGCCTAGAATCTCTTAAAATCTTTTGCGAAGGCTACTGCCGCAAACCAACTTTCCCAATCTAAGGTGTAAGGTAACGTGCCGACGGATGAATTGTCGCAGGAGTAGATACGACATTGAACGTTCCCTTGGAGGCACCGGGTGACACCCCCAAGTAACCAGCCTTCTCCTGATAATGCGAAGCTCTGTTAGGAGTAACGAATCTTTCACTACCTACTCGTGGGAATTATATGGATAATAAGAATAAAAAACCAAAACACAAAAAAAATGGGAAGCCTTCAGGTGAAAACAGAGGAAGCTCCGACAAAACGCTGGTACTAGCGGGACCTCTGAGCTGGAGGGACAGGCAGCGCATCCTTCGCATCAATAGATGTGGGGATTGTGGTAGGACCCAGTTTTTCCGGCACAGGGCGGACCACTATACCAGTAAATGCTGGACTAGGAGAACGGGTGCAAAGATCGAGTCCTGTCTCTACGGAGGTGGAACGGAAGGCGAGTCCTAGTGCGTAGTGCCTGACAAAACAAAAAAATATAGCCAAGGCCATATCTAGTGAGCAGGGACGAATCGAGGGTCAAAAAAGAGACCATTCCGATACCAGCACGCCGAATAAAGAAAAAACAAAAAGGAATAAGGATGCAAGAGCTGCGGGTTCGGGATCAACTGGTACCATATCTAATGTTAGGCCAGATGGGACCGAGCTCGAAAGACTGGAAGAACTAGATGAAGGAGGACTTTCACTCAGGTTCTGATAAAAGTAATTGCAGGAAAGACCGAACAGGCTGTTCCTGCTGCTCCTGAAACTTCTCAGGGAAAAGAAACTCCTACTGAGGGAGAACACATACCAGATGAGAATCAGTCCTTGATCGCACAAGAAATTGGGGCTCCAATCGAAATCGGGGGCTCGGAATCCACAGCACATGAGCTAGGTGAAGACGAGAAAAGGACTCTTTTAGGGGAATCACCGCTGTCTGGCCCAGCTAAAGTGCCGCAGGAGGAAGAGGACCCTATATTAGGAACGAGGGGTACCTTAAAAAAAATGAAGGCAATCGAGCTGTCCTATAACGATGTATAATAAAACAAGATATTGATATTCCTCTAATCCAAGATCCCTTTGTATATAAGGGGCGAATTATTTGTATATCAGGGGACTATGACATGATTCACTCAACGTCTGGACACCCAAGAACCTGCATTATTTTAACTATGGGAATTTTGTATAAATGACCTAGTAACAATATCCCTAAAGCTAGATGGAGGAAAAAATTTAATTGTTGGGTCCGTCTACCTGCCATATAACCAACCTGGGCTTCCCCCACCGAGGATGTGAGAGAACTGGTTAGTCACTGTAAAAAAAAGAAAATCGAACTTCTCCTAGGGCGTGATGCCAATGCTCACCATATAGTATGGGAGAGCAGTGACATTAATAACCGAAAAGAAGCTCTTCTAGAAATTATTGCTTCCAATAAACTAGAAGTTGCAAACGTTGGAAATGAAACAACCTTCATAACATCTGTACGAAGGGAGGTAATTGATCTTGGGACCTTGGGACCTTGGGACATAACAGGCGTGTTCATTAGTGGGGAAATGGCACGTCTCAAAAGAAGCGTAACTTTCCGACCATAGGCATATCCTGTTTATTTTGGGTATAAAGACCTCGGGTGAGAAGACATATCGTAATCCTAGGACCTGTAACTGGGGGGGCCTTCAAGGATAAACTCAAGCAGACTGGAGAGGACTGTCCTCCGACACCGAAGAATTTAGTGGAAGTTGAGTTTCTGATACAAACCTCAACCAACACGTTTCAAAAAACTGCCCTATAAAAATAGGGAACGAGCATCGAGATGCTGGATGGTTGAATCGAGACCTTTCCAAAAAAAGAGCAGAAGTTCGTAAACTCTTCAACCTGCCCAAAAGGTTGGGCAACTGGGAAGCCTATAAGGCGTATCGGAAAAAATATGGTTATTTTATTAGGAAAGCCAAAGAAAATTCCTGGAAGTAATTCTGTGACGGCATTGAAAACCTTTCAGAATCTCGCAGACTCAGAAAAACTTTAAAGTGATAGGCAAGGATGCATGGGATTTCTGAAAAATCAACAAGGAGAACTCACAAACACAGAGGAGGAGACTTTGGATTTATTACTTAAGTCACTCTTTTCTGAATGTGAGATAATTCTTGACCAAAGGAACAGGAGTACCGAGGCACTAATTCCTAGAGCCTCAAAAACAAACTAGTCTTTTGCAAACTTAATAGTAAACAGACGAAAACTTGCGTGGGCGATAAATTCCTTTCAGCCATACAAAGGAATCAGGAAGTACTGGAGGGACCACTGTGTAAACTATTCCAAGCTAGTATAGCCCTTGGATATGTTCTACAAAGCTGGAGGTGTGCAAGAGTTGTCTTCATTCCCAAACCCGTCTTACGCGGAAATAAAATCTTTCAGAACAATCAGCCTAACATCATTTCTCCTAAAAACATTGGGGAAATTGATCTAGAGATATACAGGGTGTCCCGAAATTAGACGGTCATGTTTTAACAGCGTAATCTACATCCTAAAATAAGAGTAAAAGTTTATATAAACATAGGCTCGAATACGTTTTGTTTCCGAGATACAGGGTGTTAAAAGTTCTAATGACACATTTTTGTAAATATTTTCCAAAAAAGATAACTAAGTGAAATTTGGTACAAATGCTAAACTTTTTACGCTCTATTTAATGGAATAAACGCCAGTTTTTTATCCTTTTCATAGGTGGCTAAATTGGGGGAGGGGCTTAGGGTTAAATTGTCCTAAGTTTTTTTTGTTGACTGGTTTTAACATTTTTGACTACAAAATTTGGAAAATCAATATTTTGTTTATAATAAAGCTACTTTTGTTGTATCTCGCTAGGACGCACCATTTTCAAGAGAAAAGCATTTGAAAACTTCATGATGTTATCTTATCGAAAGGGTTAACAATAATTGGTAGGCCCGTGGAATTAGAAATTTAATTTTTTTTAACTTTGGAAAACCGGTGACTAAAAAATTTTTAGAAAATATTTACAAAAATGTGCTATCAGGACTTCACTTGTAACACCCTGTATCTCGAAAACGAAACGTTCTCGGACCTATGTTTATATGTACTTTTAATTCTATTTTAGGAATTAGATTACGCTGTTAAAATATGACCGTCTAATTTCTGGACACCCTGTATGCGGGACGATAGTTATGTTATAGGAACTACGAACGTTATCAGAAACCATCCATAAACATCACCATATATGGAATCAAACATCGACCACATCGCCGGCACGTCACACGTGCTGATTCGGCAAAAGTTAACGTTTCATTTAATGATTAATATTTTCATCACAATGATTTTAGACTTGTAAATAAAGACACATATTGTATTTAAATTCAAATAAAAATTGTTTTTCAAAAATAACTTTTTATATCAAGAAACGTAAAGTGGCGCAGTCAGTAGGATTCCGAAAGGACATTTATCGCAAATAATCCTTCAGTATCTACTGTTAATTCGGAAAAAACCTCGTTTTAGAAAAGTTACCGAACCTAGTTTAGTGAAATAAAAACACTGATAACATCCGTATTGGAAAGTGTCAGAATCGCGAAAAGTGCAGAAACTGTTAAATAAACTGAGAACATCCACCTTGGAAAGTGTCAGAACAAAATTAGAATAAGAAGTGAAGTCTCGAGGCCCTTATGGACATCATCATGATAATACTGTAAGTTGTCTTCATTTATCTATCCTTTTCCTGTCTATGTCATTCTCCTCATCCGAAAATTCCATTGCGGAGATCGACGGTGAGCCTAGTTCTAATAGTTTAGAATCAGAATTTAGTTTTAACCTATCTAACAAAGAAGATTATAGTTTAGATTTAGAGATTAGCTCTTATTTTAGTAATTTTTCTATTAACGAAGAATCAAATTCAACAATAATGCCGACCCCACTTTATCCAAAATTGTTAGAAATAGTACCAAAATTTGATGGAAATCCTTAAGAATTAGCTTCATTTCTAGAAACTGCCAATACTTTAATAAATACTTACTGGGATCCATTCCCAGAAAGTTCTGGCAGTGTACAAAACGTAAGTTTAATTTTTGGAATATATTCAAAATTAGTTGGTCCTGCACGACAAGTTTACAGTATTTGTACTACTAAAGATTGGGAACCAGTTAAAAGTTCATTAATAGCTCACTTCGGTGATCAGCGCGATGATAATGGCTTATTATTCGACATAGATCAATTAAGACAAAATTCTAATGAACCTGCCCTACATTTCTACACTAGGGTAATGTCAAACTTAAGTGCTCTTCATAATTTTGTTGACTGTCATGAAACTGTCCAAGCTAGTGC